GAGGGAGAGTGAGCTCATGTGAACGCAATGACCAAGGAGGCCAGAGGCACTGGGTCACTGGAACTCCAGTCACAGGCAGTTGCGAGCTGTGCAGCATGGGTGCAGGGAACCAAACTCGGGTCCTCTGGACCAGCTAGGCCCTTCACCACTGAGCCATTTCTCCAGCCTTAGAGGAGACGAGGAGTTAAGCAGTCCTCAGTCGGGCTCCTCCACTGAAGATGCCTCCCGAAGTGAACAAGCTGAAGCGGTCCTGTTTAAACCGGCTCTGCTGCCGCACCAAAGCTCCACACCCCACACGCCTCCGTCACTTTTCTCCGCTGTGTCACAAACGCACCTCAAGGAAGCGTGTGTTTGGGCTGGTCCTTTGGGGTACAGCCCATCACAGCCAGGAAGTCCCATCTGCGGGAATGTGAGGCAGCTGCAGCCACAATCAGGAAGCAGAGGGCAACGCTAAGCACTGAGCTCAACCTCTCCGTGTTTGCCCGGATCCCAGGCACGCGCACCTGTGTTAAGGTGGGCCTTCCCACCATTTAGAAACTCTCCCAGACAGACACACCGAGAGGGCTGTCTCCAGCTGATTCTCAGGCCCTGCCAACTTGATAATCAACAGTAACTACTAACCACACTAGGTGACTGATCAAACAGAACCGCATTTCTCGCGGCTCTGGAGGCCGTGTCAAGTGAGGGATAGCTCCGTGTCATGAATGGCAGCTCCTCATGGCAGCTCCCCACAGAAGAGGCAAACAAGGTCACAGGAGCCTCATTTAAGAACACAGCAGTCCTACCTGAAAGAGCTTTGCCCTCCTATCAGCCACTTCTCAGGGACAGCCGAGCAGAGCAGCTTTAGGGATGCAAGTTCAAATTATCCCGGAGTGTAGCCCTCTGCTTGTCCAGCAAGGGCAGATCCCCAGAACTGTGGAGTGAAAGGTCAAGGGCCATGCCTAGTCTGCCTCTCACCACTAGACAGAGCAGTTTCTTTGCCCTCTCCGAGCCTAGGCTTCCTTATCTGTTCAGCACAGAGAGCGATGCAGCCTTGACTCTCACCAGATATTACAAAGGAAATGAGCCAGGCAAAATGTCTCAATAATTACACATAAGACATTTAGTAAATGGTGGCAGTGATAAGAAAAGATCTCTCTCTAACCCTCAGGGTAGCAGCTTACTTTATCAATAAGAGACAAAAGAGGGAATGCTGAAGAAAGGGCTTACAATCACTGACAGAAATCTAATTCCCTTTACTCCACACAACAGGACCACACAGCACCCATTTCCGTGGCGTAAAGCCTCATGAAATGCTGCCCTTGTCTTATAACTTCCAGGGAATCACCATATTATACTCCAATTTCATGACTGCTCTCCCAAATACTCATTTTTCTTCCCCTAATATTTTATTCGATTCTTTTTGCTGTTGTTTTGTGTTTTGTTTGTTTGTTTGCTTTGGCTTTTTAAGACAAGGTTTCTTTGTGCCCTGGCTGTCCTGGAACTCAACTCTGTAGACCAGGCTGGCCTTGAACTGACAGAGTTCAGAGTTCCTGCCTCCCCGAGTGCTGGGATTAAAGGCATGAGCCACTAGCCCAGCCTTTTATTTCTTCTGCAAAGAGCTTATTATGCTGTTGTGTATGCCAAGGAGGGAGCAAGAAGATTCTCAGAAACGATTACACAACAGTCATTCCTTCCACACTGGCGAGTTTGCAAAGATTTTGTTTCTCCTAACTACAAAGTGTTTCATTAGGACACATACACATAGGTAAAAACAAATAAATCCTAAATTTCTCAAGGCCAGCAATATAGCCTCAGTCTGGCCCCAAAGCTGACAGGCTACGGTTGGTCCGACGACCCACCGGGTAGACAGAGAGAAAAGACTTACTTCTAAGCTGTCCTGGGTCCTCCACATGCTAGAAGTGGCATGCACACCCGAGCCCACCCCCTCCACACACACACTCGAGCGCACACACACACACACACACACACACACACGAAGGCAGTTTTAAAATAAAAAATGAAATAAATGTCACACCACTTTGTACACCTATAACCAGGTCATGTACAAATTGTGCTTGGCAAAGGGCCAACAAGGGCCAAGCCCCACAGCCCTGATCTGGGCTGAGTGCACCTTTGGAGGCCCGCCACGCTCGGCAGGCCCACACTCTCAAGCACCCCAGCCTGACTCTCCCACACTGGCCTTCGGGAGTTAGGGCCCTATGAGAGCTCCAAAGAAAAACAGGATTACAAGAGCCCACACCACAGAACTAACCAGAGAGCTGGGCAAATGAGCCAGCTGGGAGCCGGCTGGTTTGGGAACAGTGCCACAGTCACACCAGATCAGCTGGAGTCTCCAGAGACGTCCTAGCCAAGGGCAGGAGAAGAGAAATCTGGGCTATGCAAATTTCCTTTGTCATCTGAATTCAGCGGGATAGCAGCTAGGCAGGCGTGCTCACGCCTTTCCGTCTTCAGCAAGCTTTCTCTTCTTCACTGGACACGATTTTGTCTTTAGTTTTGTTTTCCTGGAGTCACCTCCTAGAGTATGGCGTGGGAGCGAGGCGTTCAGTAAGTGACTGAACTGCGCCGCTTGAGGCTTCGGGCAGCTGATGTGAATGGGGCCCGGCTCAGCGGGAAGAACCTGAACCTGAGCGAGAGTTGAACATAATCTGGCAATGGTGTGTGAATATGCACGTTTGCCTCTGTGGAGACATGCACGTGGGGCACGCGTGTACACGGCTGTGTGCGCGCTCGCAGCGGGCTGGGACTAGGAGTTACCCGGGGCCTCCTTCGCCTCTGTAAGGTGGGCGGCCTCACCTGCCTCTGCTCCACGCAGAGCCCACCGGGACCCAGGCTCAGCAGCAGCCTGTTCTGGGGATCTCACCCTGCCTGGCAAAGCTAGGACTGCAGGCAAGCCTCACACCCACAGCATTTACGTGGGCTCCGGGGAGCCCAACTGTGCTTCTCACACTTGCATAATAAACACTCTTAAAAAGAGAGAGAGAGAGAGAGATGGCTCAATGCTCTCACTCTGGAGCCCCGGCTGGCCTGAAAATTACTCTGTAGACCTTGAATTTTGATGCTCCTTCAGCAGCCTCTGCCTCCAGAGTTGTGGGACCACAGGTATGCGCCACCCGCTCGACTGAGAAATCCAATCACTACACCAAGAACCACTATTAGACAGATGCCTACTATGACCAAAAAAGGTGAGTGTTCTTCTTTTCCGTCACTGCACGTTATGAAGACGGCTTGACCCAGACCAACCCGAAGCCGCTGGCTGCAGTGTGTACAACGCACGTGTGGCTGGTGACCCCCAAGTCAGGTCCCCAAGTATCCGCCAGGAACTTCCCCAGCCACAGCCGCACCCTAGGCAGAGACTCAATCCACAGCAAGTGTCATCACTGATCCAAAGAACGCTCTCACCGTCTCATCAGGACGGTCATTGCGGAAGCAGCTTAACCCTACTGAACTCCTTGTCAAAATCACTTCAGAGAAGGACACTAAAACCATCAGCCATCTGAAGGCAAAGCAGGTGTCATCTGAAGACCCATGAGTGACGGGTGTTTACAAACAGGAAGTATTGATCCTGTCTCTGTGCTGAAACCAGAGGCAGGAGGATCTCTGTGAGTCCAAAGCCAGCCTGGTCTACAGAGTGAGTTCCAGGACAGGCAGAGCTGCATAGTGAGACCCGTCTCAAAAACCAAACATACAGACGCCTTGTGGCCTCTCAACGCTGCCATATTCATTTCACGGACAAACCTCCAGGTCTCTTGCCCTCTGCTTTTAGCATTGAAGACAGACTCAGGACTAGCGCACTGTGTGAGGCAGCCCTTCCTCGTGCTAACCTACACATGAGAGGAGAGCATCATTCAAGCAAGGGCAGCAGCTGATCAAAGTGACAGAGCAACTTGGCCACTCTGGGACTCAACAGAACGTCTAACCTAGTCTTTCTAAGTGGACTGTAGAAGAAAAAGCATAAACTGCGGCCTATTAGAAATTCATAGCCCTGGCATGTGTTTTGCTTTCATTCCCTCATCCGTGAGAGAAAATGCCTTTAGAACATAAGCTTATGCTGAAATAAGAAAATCACCTAGTTCGGGAGTCCGGCTCCTCCCTCTAACAAGCCCCTGTTGCTATGGCTACATGGAACGCACTACCTGCATTAAGAAAGATGCCTGAGCCTGGCTACCTGTAAACACTCTGTCAGGAGCACTGCGGGTCTGACTGACCTTCTGGAGTGCTGTTTAGAACTAAAAGTCAGGTTCTCAATTACCAGCCATCCTACAACCCAGCACATTGCCAGGCCGGCCCTCTGGCTGAAGGACGGTTGGTGTGCCAGGATTACTAATTTCCAGTAGGCCTCTGCGGCTGGTTCCCTAGACCCTACCCCTAACGTTACTCTCCTCAGGGACGTTCACCTGGATTCACCTCGCGGCCAACCAAATGTGGAAAATCCTTTAAGCATGGTCGTTTTCCATTTTGTGGAACGTTCCAAACTCTTAAATGCCCGATTCATACCCCAAACCAAGCACATCAGAATGTCTAAGCGGCGGGGCCAGGCACCTATACTTTTAAAAGTCCCAGGATGGCCCTAGACGAAGCTAAGGCCGAGGCCTTCTACGCTGGCTCGCCCCTCTTGCTCTCAAGTGCCTTCTGCCACACGTGGAACCAGAAAACCCAATCCAGAGCAAGTCAGAACCACAGCTGTCCCCAGAAGGTGCAGCGGGAACGGGCACTGCCCTGGGCTCTGCCAAGGCTACCCCGGTGCCCTGCCAGCGAAATCGATTTTAGAGGCACCACTGTCTGCCCTGGTCTCTCTGATCCTTAGAACCTTCTTCCTCCTCAAAAAGGCGAATCTCTCAGGAAGCAGAGATGGCGGGTGCAGCCCAGCCCAACAGTAGCTGCAGAGGAGCGGGACCCCCCTGCGCCGGAGAGCCGGCCGCGCAGGGCAGGGCGGGAGGCGCGGGCTGCACCTGCCGCCGCGCGGGCCGCACCCTCCGCGCCCGCCCCCACCCGCCTACCTTCCAGCAGCTCGTCCAGGCTGGTGACCTTCCGGCTGCCGTCCACCGTGTAGATGGTGCGCACGCCCTGCGGCAGGTTCACGTTGTCGGACAGCGAGCGGGTGAGCTCGGCCAGCAGCGCGTCGAAGGAGCGGAAGCGGTCGCTGGAGATGGCGAAGACCAGGCCTTTGAAGTAGCGGTCCCCGTTCCGGTAGAAGCGCGCCTTCTTGGCCTTCTTCTCCGAGCTGAGGGCCTGCAGCGTCCGCGTGCGGTAGAAGCTGCAGTGCGCGCTGTGCGCCGGGCTGGGGATGAGCCCGTTGCCGCGGGGCCCGGGGCCGCCGGCGGCCGCCGCGGAGCCGGGCGCGCCCCTCCGCGCCCCGGGCCGCGGCCTTTTGTCCCGCTCCTCGAAATGCTCCAGCTCGATGCTCCTGGTGCTGGCCATCGCGGCGGCCGCGCTCGCCACAGAAAGGGACCGGGGCTCGGCCGCCGGGCAGCGCCGCGCTCAGAGCCGCCGGGCCCCGCGCTCGGGCGCGCGGGCCATGCCGCGGGGGGCGAGGAGAGGCCGCCGCCGGCCGGGAGCCCCACGCCCCCGA